AGCAACTGAAAGAGTAACTCTGCCAACAACTTTAAAATATTCCGGGATTGAAAACACAAAAACAGTTGCTGGTGCGTTTATTACAATTTAAAAACAGAGAAGGATATCAGCCTTTAGTTTGAAGTCATTCCTGAGAAAACCGCAAGGTAATAAACTGGGGTCGCGGCTATCCAGGGCAGGGCGCGGCGCACCCGCTCCTTGACCCTGGGGGCCACCCAGCCGCGGCGGCCCAACAGCAGACTGCCCTCCCGAAGCCCGGGTTCTCAGCGGGTGTCTGGAAGCCGCCCGCGCCAGGGCCCCTCGGCAGCCTCACCTGGCGCGCGGCGGGCCCGGCCCCGTTCAGCAGAGGCGTCCCGTCTCCCGGCCGAGCCGTCCTCCGAAGAAGCGGCGCCGCCTCCTCGTCGTCGCGGTCGCGCCCGGACCACGACACTTTCTTGGAGACGTTAGCCATGGCCCGCAGCGGCCGCCTTCCCGGGAACCCACCACCGCCCCCAAAAGCGTTCTCGTGACCCGCGCCGGCGATCACATGACGTGACGCCGGCGGCACATGACTCGAGGCGCCGCTCACGTGACCCGAGACCGCAGCTGCCGAGAGAGGTGCGCGGGGCCTCTTGGGAGTTGTGGTTCTGGTGGCAGAACCCGGGCAAGTGGGACAGGCGCGACCCTCGGGGTCCTTGTCCCTACTGGGTTGCAGAGTCGAGCTCGGCCTCTGGCTCGCCTAAGGTCGAGCAGAAGCTAACCCGACAGTGATGGTTGGCAGGACTGCGTACACCCCAGGCTCTGAAGAGGACTTCTCGCGGTGAAGGAAAAGGAAACTTGCTGTAAGAAATATGGTGAACTTCACCTGAGCCACGGGACAAGCTGGCATCTTATCGTTCCTGGTGCGTGGGCCAAGAAGGACCCAATATCACTCTGCCATCCTACAGATATTCTTACCTGAGTCCCACCCTAAGGGAAAAGTCAGATTAATGGAAGTCCAAGTGGCCCTCTTTCCCTAGGCTAGTGTGCTCAAGGACAAAGAAAGGCCCAGTTAAAGGAGAAAGACACTAGCCTATAACCCAGACGCTCACGGAGGTTTAGGTAGGAGGATCCCAAGTTCAAACTCAGCCTGGGCAATTTAATGAAACCCTGTCTCAAAAAATATTTTGAAAAGGCTGAGAATAAACCAGGCATGGTGGCACACCTTGTAATCCCGGCAGTGAGGAGGCTGAAGCAGGAGGATTGCTTTGAGTTTGAGGGCAACTTGGGGCTACATAGTGAGTTCAAAGACAGCCTGAACTACAGTGAGACCCCGGCTCTAAAAAGTGAGGATGTAACACAGTGCAAAGGTCCTGGGTTTACTCTCCAGAACCATATGGGAGATAGCTAGCTAGCTAGCTAGCTAGATTTAATATTTGATGACTCTAGGATAGATAGATAGATAGATAGAGAGAGAGAGAGAGAGAGAGAGAGAGAGAGAGAGAGAGAGATCCTACAAGCACACATATATATGATGTACAACTTACTTGTCTTGCAAACTTAAGTTTGAAAAATTTCCAAATCAAACTGTTTTAGTTCTTCTGAGTGCCTCAGGCTGAGACAGGTCTTGCTGGATGAATAGGGTTTGGGGAAAGATGCTCAGTGGGCAGAAGAGCTAAGTAGTATAGGTGGCATGGGACATAGTGGGGCATGTGGGAAGGAACATGAAAAGAGTCCTCAGGGTGAAGTGTCATGCTTGGGTGCATAGATGATCTTTGTGGCTGGTCAAGCAAGGCGGAAACATTTCCCAAAGGCAATCCCTGACAGAGTAGGGGATTTAACTAACTTGTGTTCTCTTTTTGTGTGCAGTGTGGGGATGGACCCAAGGACGTTACTACACATGCTAGCCAAGTGCCACTGAGCTGCCTCTCCAGTTGTATGTATCTATGTACGTATGTATTTTTAAAGTTTGAGACAGGGACTAAATTCTAAAGTTGCCCAGGCTAGGCTCAAACTTGAGATCTTCCTGCCTCACCCTCCGAGTGCTAAGGATTATAGGCATGTGTCATTGTGCCTGGCTTCAACTTGTCCTCTTAAGGAATAATGTCTGTGTCTAAAGATGACTGTGCTGGGATGCGTGGGTGCAGAAAGAGAAACCAGCCTATGGCTCCTTGCCAGGACTCTTTCCCCTGAAGGCTACTCAGGGTCATTGTGTTTTCCTTAACCAGGGAACATGGTGGACTTGAGTTAAAGGAAGAATTTGGTGGCATTAGAGGGGTATATGGTTCATGCTTCAAAATGAGCACATGACTTTGTTGCTGACTGCAGTGGGGATGGTGAATCATGTCTGATACATACTCAAACTGCCTGGCTCCAAAACTAGACAGGCTTCTCACATCTGCCTCTTCCAAATTTCCACTGCTCCATGGGCTCCACTGCTCCATCTGGGCACTGCCCCCTGACACCGTTAATTTACCACAACTCTACAGCCTTACTCTGGCATCTGCCCAGGTGGAGTCCTTCCCCCTAACCCACGAAACTTCCTGAACACAGCTGCGCACAATACCACCTGCCTCTGCCAAGCTCCTGAAGCTTTTTAGTGGGGACACTCAGCTTAACACTGGTGTGAACGCCATGACATTGTGGCCCCACGACATTATAAGCACCTGAAATCTGGGACAGGTGGGAACAACTCCCCATGGTCTTTTCCCTGGCAGGTGGAGGGTGGGGGGAGCCTACTGTTACCTTTATCTCAAAGCTGAATCTGAGAGCAAGAGTTCTAAAATCAAACTATCAGAGGTTCATCTCCTGTCTGCTCAAGACAACTGTGCTGGAGACCTAGCTGTCTCTCTGGAAGTATTTACTAATCAGGTCACTAGTCTTTCCAAAATAAATATGCCAGATAGCTCCTTCCTCAAATGGAAAGTGAAGCCAGGCATGGTGGTGCATGCCTGTAATCATAGTACCCAGGAGGTTGAGGCAGGAGGAGTCCTGAAAGTTCAAGGCCACCCTGGGCTACCTAGTGATTTCAAGGCCAGTCTCAACTACATGGTGAGACCCTACCTCTTTTTTTTTTTTTTTTTTTTTTTTTGTCTTTTTGAGACAGGGTCTTGCTAAGCAGTTCAGGCTGGCCTTGAGCTCACTTTGTAGCCCAGGCTGGCCTCGAACTTGCAGCGATCCTCCTGCCTCAGCCTCCCGAGTCCTGGGATTACAGGCGTGCACCACCATGCCCGGTGAGAACCCTATCTCAAAAACAAAGTGCAAAATGAAATGGAGCAAGAGAGTTCTAGAAAACATCAGAGGAGGTAAGGAAGGCTCCCAGCCAGGTGTAGTGGGACATACCTGTGGTCCAGGCTACTTAGGAGGCTAAGCCAGGAGGTTCACTTGAGTCCAGGATTTCCAGTGCAGCCTCAGGCAAAGAGCAAGGAGCCATCTCAGAAAAAAAATGCTGAATGTAGTGTGCACACCTGTAATCTCAGCACTTTGGGAGACTGAGGCAGGAGGACAGCAAGTTTGAGACCCACCTGTGCAATCCAGTGAGACCTCGTCTCAAAATAAACAATAAAAAAAGGCTAGGACTGTAGCTCAGTGCAAAGGCACAAGGTTCAATATATAGTGCCTTAAAAAAAAAGTTGAAAAGGGCCTTCTAATGAGTTAGACAGTCCTAGGGAAGCAGAAGCCAGTGATTCAAGCATGCCTCACATGGTACCCACAGGGGTTTCCAGTTCTAAAATTCATTCCTGACCTTGACTCATGAACAGGTGGTATTGGGGGTGGCCAGCTGGGCTGATATGAGCTGAAGGCCCAGAGCACTGATCCTCTGAGATCTGAGAGATGCTGCTACAAGACTCAAGGGACTAATATAGGACACCACCAGAGCATCTGGGCAGTCCTGTACCCCTGACTGGCTACCTACCTGTGGGTAAAGGGTGGTGCTCAGGCCTCCACAAAGTTGAAACTGTCCATGCCTAGAGTTAGCATGGAGGAGGACAGAAGGTCTTAGGACCCACATAGTTAGCTCTGGGTATGGGTTTACTCTACTCTACTTTCTGACTTTTTTTTTTTTTTTTTTGAGACAGGGTCTTACTGTGTAGATCAGGCTGGCCTTGAACTCATTATGTTGCCCAAACTGGGTTTGAACTTGAAATGATCCTCCTGCCTCAGCCCCTCCAGTACTGGGATTACAGGTAGGTGCCACCACCCCCAATTTACTTTCTGAATTTTAAAATGGGTGGAGGACCGTGGATATGGTGGTACATGCCTCTAACCCTAGCACTCTGGGAAGCAGGGGCAGGAGTTTGAGTCCCACCTGGGCAACTTAGCAACTTAGTGAGACTCTGTTTCAAAATAAGAAATAGAAAGGGCTGAGGATGTAGTGCAATGTGAAGAGCCCGGCTCAATCCCAGCACCACAAAACAGAAATGAAATAGTAGGGTGTGGAGTAGATGTTCCCAAGCTTAGCAGGGCCCTCCTCTCCATGCTTCCTCCAACACCATCCTTTCCTCCTGTCTGTACGAGTTGATTCTGATTTTGTGATTTTTTTTTTTTTCTTTTTGAGACAGAGTCTCGCTGTGCAGTTTAGGCTGACCTTGAACTCAATAGCCCAGGCTGGCCTCAAACTCATGGCAATCTTGCCTCAGCCTCCCGAGTGCTGGAATTACAGGTGTGTGCCACCACACACCCGGCTCTGATTTTGTGATCTTGATTTTAAGTCCTCATTAGGGATCTCTACCATTATAATGGTCAATTTATATCACACCAAAATTTATAGTAAAAATGCCTATAGTAAGAATTAATGTATATTTCATTTTTTAACCTGTTTTGAATTCTACCCAAAAAAGTCCTCAAAAGACACAAAACCAAATGTTGGCAAGGAGGTTGAAAAATGAAATAATTTGTGTATTTCTGGTAGGAATGTAAAATGAATCAGCAACCTTGGAAACACAACTTGGCAGCTTTTGTGAAAGCCAAGACATGAATTTATCATATGACCCATCCACTCTTGGGCATCTGCTCAAGATAAATAGAACATATCCAAAGACTTGATAAGAATATTCAGCAGATTTATTCACAATAACCAAAAACTGGAAACAACCTAAATGTCCACCAGGTAATAAGTAGATAAACAAAATGTGGTCCCTTCATACAATCGAATATTATTCACTCACAAAAAGGAGTGAAGTACTGATGTCAGCTATAACATAGATTAACCTGGAAAATGTGATGCTGAAAGACAGAAGCTTGACACAGAAGCTACAGGCTGTGGATTCCATCTATATGAAATACCCAGAACAGACCAATCTATAGGTAGAAAGCAGATGGGGTTGCCAGGGGCTGGGGGCAGGAGTGATCATTAACAGGCAGTGTTTAGAGGGCAACTGAAATACTCAAAAAGTAGATTATAGTGATGACTGTATAATTCAATATATTTATTACAGTCTTTAAATGGTACACTTAAAAGGGATAGTTTATAATATGAAAATTATACCTTACGAGTTGGTTTAAAGGCATTGTTCATCCATCTTAATGGTGGCTCTGGCAGACTTACCACCCATGCCAGGACAACAGAAAAGGACTGACCAGTCATCTTTGAGGGAACCACCAGGACTCTGAGTGAAAGATGCTGTAGTCTTAAGGGTCAGCCTCTTAGACTCTTACATCCTTTCTCCAAGAGATGCTGGAATAGCCATCAGCCAGAGGAGAGCCTACCTAAGTTGCCTTGAGAGAAAGCAATGATGATACAAATGGCCATCTCTACAGTTAGAAGGAATGAGGGCATCTTCTGAGAACCTTGACCAGCTGGGGCCCTTGACCAGCTGGCCCTTTATCACTAAAAGGGCACACCGAGAGGAGAGGCCTGCTGGGATCTAGCACTCCTGCTGGGCTGGTGCAAGCCAGGGTGAAATAATGTCATATTACAAAGAATGAAGTGACCAGAGACTTTGAAGGTGCAGCCTGTAAGAAGAAGAATGCTGCAGAAATGGGAGGACACAGCCTATGGACCCTGAACTTGCCTAGGGTACACTCTCTTACTGCAGATGTTTCCTTGACCATTCCCACCTCCTACCTAGAGCCCAGGTGTGCATGCATAGCTGAGGACAATGAGGATGGGAAAGGCAAGGGGCTCACCCCTCTCACTGGCCTGCAGGGTGTGGCCTCATGGACAATGCTCCAGGCAAGGGCATTCGGTTCTCTGTACAAATCCACCTACCGATGTGACATTGGCTAGGGTCAGGATGACACCTATAGGGAGCTCTTTCCCTATAAAAAGGTTTGCAACTTCTCTAGGCAACAGCACCCGGTCCCAGATGGCCAAGCCAGACATGCTCCCCACAAAGGCCTCAGCACTGTCAAAACTACCCCCTACACTGTCTTGCTCCTGGCCTAGCACAAGGGATCCCCCAGGAGGGATCTCATAATCCTCCCTGAAGTGAGAGCCGGTGGCAACTAGCTTGCGGTCCACGTAGAGCCAGTACCTGCCTTGGATGGATGTCCAGCTGACACAGATATGGTGCCACTGTCTGTCCAGCAGCAGCTGCAGTGGCAGCTCCCTGAAGGCTGGGTCTCCAATCACAAAGTGCATGGAGCCAGGGACCAAGGAGTCTCGGCCATGCAGCACCAGTTTGTTGTCATTCTCTTCAGTGGCATAGGAGAGGAGGGTGCCCAGGTAGCCAGAGGTCATGCGGATCCAGCTGCAGAAGGACAGGGCTCGTAGGCCCTTGAGCAAGCCAGGGCTGAGGAAGACCACATTTTCAGTGGAGGCATTCGGGAAAACGAACACAGGGCCTGTGTTGCAAACTAGAAACAGAGAGAGGGAGAGTGAGCCTCTACATTATGAGGCAATTTAAAAGCATCCAGGAGCATCAGGGCTGCAGCCATGTCCCTCATTCTAGGAGGCGATAGCCTAAAGTTTCCAGCCACCATGCCTCCAGGAGCTCTAGTTCTATGCTGGCACTCTTGAGGCATGCCTGGCAGCATCTCATTTATCCTCCTAATATGACCCCTATTCCATCAGGGACCGAGAATGAGGGCATCTCCAAAGGAGTGGGTGAGCCCCATGTAAGCCTGAGCTATCTGCCAGTGCTCCTTGCTCCTAGAGGAACCTCTATCTGCATTTCCTTTGGCTGCTGTAACAAGCTGCCGTAAATTTGTTTACTTATTTATTTATTTGTGGTACTGAAGATAGAACACAGGGCCTTTGCATTGGGCTACATCCCCAAACCTTTTATTTTGAGACAGGGTCTTGCTGAGTCGCTAAGTTGTCTGGGCTGGGCTCTAACTTGCAGTCGTCTTGCCTTAGCCTCCCAGAGTGGTGGGATTATAGATGTGTGTCTCCATGCCTAGCTACAATTAATTTAATAATTTAAAACATTTCTGGTACTAGGCAAAGCAGCACACACCTCTGTCTCAAAATAAAAAGCTCTGGGGATTTAGCTGTATGGTAGATCATGCCTGGACTGGATCCCTGGTACTGCAAAAACAAATAAGGAAAAGCCACCCAACCCAAGTTTATTTCTTGTTTGTGGAGGTTCAAATCAAGGTATTGGCAGTGCTAGCTTCTTCTGAAGGCTCCATGGACCAGCTGCTTCATCCAGCCCTTCCCATCTTCCAGAGCTGTGCATGGTCCTTAGCTGGTGTTCAGAATGCATTCCTGCAGCCTGTGCTTCTGACCCCGAATCTCCAGCTCTGACTCTCCTGCCTCCCTCTCTGAGCTCCATGACCACACTTGACCCATCCAATAATCCAGGATTATTGTCATCTCAAAGTCCTGACTCAACCACCTCTGAAGAAGACCTTCTGCCATAAAGGAAATGTGTGTGACTTGGCCTGATGGTCACCTGGATGACGACAGTCAGGCCACTCCCTCTTCTAGGGCAGAGTACGTGGAGCACGAACCCAGTTTCCTCTCCTTATGGCCTCTGGGAGAAAGTTTGTGGGGATGGGGGCAGGTGGCTGTGGCCTGCCTGGAAATTGATGCAGGGGACAGGCCAGTGGCACTTACTTTCTCCTGTTCCCTGGGGCGGCCATGCCAGATGAGGAGAGTCTTTTGGGGCTGCAGCAGATGCCCAATGGCTGTTTAAGGATGAGGGCTTCTGTGTCCCCTGCAGAGTGGCAGCAAGATCCTGGGATGGATTCCTGTGTTTGAGTGGAGGCCTGAATGCCTGCTTTTCCCGATGCAGTTTCGGGGAGCTCAGACCTGGCTGCACAGGCTGGTTTGGGGCCAGGATCAGCCCCTGTGCTGCCGTGTCAGGGTTGGCCACTTGCAGCTGCCATTCAAGAGCAGCTAGCCTGGTGCTCTGGTTACGGACCTGATGTGCCAGGTGGGCCAGTGTGTTCTGCAGGGTAAGCACATCCAGGGCCAGGTGTGAGACAGCATCCTGCTGTGCTATCTGGTCCTTCCCCTCCCAAGCCTGCTGCCTGCTCTTCACACTCAGAGCATGGTCCAAGGCCTGCAGCTTTGCATCCACTTTTCGGCCTCGGCGTTTGGTCTGCCTCATCCAAGTCTTTAGGTGGGCCAGATCCACCTGTACGGCAGCCTGAGACCTGTTGACTGCCAGAGCCACAGCCCGGCTCTCTTCTGTCAGCCTCTGGAATTGGACATCGACGTTGTAGGACACATTGTAGTTGTTTGCAATGTCCTGCAGGTGTGTCAGGGTGACCTCTTGGAATCTTTGAAACTGTGAAGAGGATAGAGTAGTTATGGAGGGTGGCATACTCTCCTGTTTACCCTGTGTGCAGGGTTCATGGCCAGCATTGCATTTATTTATTTATTTATTATTAATTAATTAATTAACTTAGGTTTTTTTCTTGGTTTTTCTCCGGTACCAGGAACCGAACTCATGACCTTGTGCTTGCCAGGCAGGCGCTTTGCCGCTGAGCTAAATCCCCAGCCCCTAGGTTTCTTTCAAGACAGGGTCTCCCTATGTAGCCCAGGCTGGTCTTGAACTCACTATGTAGCCCAGGCTGGACTCTAACTTGCTGTGATCTTCCTTCCTCAGCCTCCTGAGTGCTGGGATTTACAGGTATGCGCCATCAAGCTTGGCCTCATCCAGCCCTTTTTTATATTTCATTTTGAGACAGGGTCTTGATAAGTAGCTAAATCGCCCAATTTGGGCTCAAACCTGCTATCCTCCTGTCTCAGCTTCCCAGGGTGTTGGGATCATGACTGGCTGGGACCGAAGATTGATGGACCAATTGGGTCTATGCCACAATGGCAGAAGATGCAGGTCAGTTACCATGAACAGTCCCAGGAGGCAGACCACAGAGGGGATACATGAGCCCTGGGCCCACAGCAGTACAGTGTGGGGTGTGGACTCCAGTCCCACAGCTCAGGCTCCTATCTTCCTCTAAACCCCTGCTGTCTGGATGACTGCAGCCACTTGATTCACGGTTGTGGTCTTCAAGGTCTCTGCTGTGAGTGGAGAAGCCTATGGGATGAGCTGTGTGAGTGTTTCACCAGAATCAAGGTAGAAGTGCTCAGAGCTGAGAACACTACCAACCCCACATAGGAGTCTCAGGAACATCCATACTCTCCATTTCCGGGTGAATTTATGACCCCACAGCTCCCACACCCAGTGACATTGTCCAGCACCATCAGACCCCCGGATCACTCCAGTTGTGGTCCTTGGGCCCTGAGAGGCTCCTCAAATCCCCCGTCCCCCCATTTATACATCATCTTGCTTGATTTCAGGGTGTGTCTCAGCAAGCCCTTCCCTTGTTTTCAATTACAGGTGAGAGCACTGTTAGCTGCTAACAAGGACCACAAGCTGTGCAGTCAGGTCCAGAGTACTGACACTTACAGCTCTGTGTCTGTAACATCCATCCTTCATCTGCCCAAGTATGGTACTTACCTGCTCTTCTAGTCTACGGAGCCTCTCAAAAAATGGTTTCCTTTGCCTTACTGGACTGCCTTCCTGCAATGAAGACCTATGTAAATACATGGGCACAAAAACAAGGAGGAAAAGTAGGGTACTCCTCCCAGGGCGACCCATGCTGAGAGACCAGGGAACCCAGTGTCTCTGCTGGACGGAAGTAGGAGGTGGTTTTGGGCTCACGTGATGGCCTCATCCCTCACAGCTCTCCAGTTGAGTGGTTTTCCTTCTTCAGTCCTGGCTAAGTGTCAGGAACTTCCTACTACCTTAATGAAAGGCATCTGCCTTCAAGCCTGAGTCCAAGGTTCCCAAGGAAACAGTCTTAAAAGGAACACAAATAGTTGCTTTGGAAAAGCATTCTACTGGGTGCAAGTCCTTGTCAGGTTGGCTTAGAGGCAGACAGGAGCTAATGGCTTTAACAGGAGCATATGGACTCATGTTTCCACTAAGAAGTCGAAGCAGGACAGGGGACCTGAATGGGGCCCAGAAGTCATCGGAACCAGGACTGCCCTGGTGTCCAGCGTCCTGACGTGCACAGCCACCTTCTGTGAGGCCTTGTCTCTCCCTCCCTTGGAAAATGAACTGAAACATGGTTGGAGTCACCTTGACTCTTCTCATCCAGGATTAGATAACTTTAATTAAATTTTATTTATTTACTCATTTTTTGCTTGTTTTTTTCAGAGGTAAGGGATCTTACCTAGGCTGGCCCTGATCCTCCTGTGTTCAACTGATCCTCTTGAATAGCTGGGACCACAGACGTAAATCAACATATAGGGCCAAATTTATTTTTAAACTGATACACAACAACATAAAAATTGTACCTATTAATGGGGTAATGTGTTATTTCAATACAGGTGTGGATTATATAATAAATCAGGAAAACATATCTGTCTTGTCCTAACTTTTTTTTTTTTTTGTCTTTTTGAGACAGGGTCTCGCTCTGCAGTTCAGACTGGCCTTGAGCTCACTTTATAGCCCAGGCCGGTCTTGAACTTGCAGTGATCCTCCTGCCTCAGCCTCCCAAGTGCTGGGATTACAGGCATGCACCACCACGCCCGGCTCCTAACTTATTTTGGATACAGGATGTGTAGTGGGTTAAATTATATCTTAGTTACTTTCTCATTGTTGTGTCAAAATACCCAACACTCACAAGTTAAAGGAGGAAAGGTTTATTTGAGCTCACAGTTTATAGAGGTTTCAGTCTATAGTTGGCTGCTTCCTATCCCCAGCACCCTGGCAGAGGAGAAATAGTTCATAGTGTGACGGACAGGGGGCAGTGCAGCTTCCTTTTTCTTTCCAGTTGTTATTCCATCCAGGCTACAAGCCAACTGATTGTTGCCACCCACACCCAGGGTGGGTCTTCCCTTTTCAGTTAATCCACTGTCCATACCCAGAACAATGCTAAACCACAGTGGACTAAGCCAGTACCACATGCCCATGATAAATCACTCCTAAAAGCACCACCTGTGAGTGTATGAGGCTTTGGGGAGACATCTAGATATAAGCCATAACAAAGGAACCTCCTGAAAAGCCAGGCCCAAGTCCTGACTCTGGGGGCTGTGACTATGACCTTATGTGGAAAGAAGGTCTTTGTAGATCCTGAGATGAGGTTATCCTGGTGCACCCTGAGTCCAGTGTCCAGTGTTCTCATCCAAGACGCAAGACAGAAGGCCCAGGTGACAGCCATTTGAAGGCAGCAGCAGAGAAGCATTGAGGCCACAGAAGTACCTAGAGCACAGAGGCTGAAAGAGACAGAGGGTCCTCCTCCCTGAGTCTCTAGAAGGAGCCTGACACCTTTGTTTCAGATCTGTGGCCTCCACAGCTGTGACAGCATAACTTTCTGTTGTTTGAAGGCCCCAGTTTATTGGTTTGTTGTGTTTTTTTTGTTTTGTTTTGTTTTTTGTGTTTTCTTCTGGTACCAGGAATCAAACTCACGACCTTGCACTTGCCAGGCAGGCGCTTTGCCGCTGAGCTAAATCCCCAACCCTCCAGTTTATGATAATAAGATAAAAATGTCCCCTATAAGGGCATCCACTGATTTCAATTCTGTGTGAGCTCAGAGTATACCAGGCCAGAGAAGAAGCCGCTGATCCCAAGACTCACCTTGGCAAACATCAGAAAACCACCGGAAAGGACCAAGACTGTCTCCAGAGAACCGCTGAGCACAGTGATACAGTTGCCAAAGACAGAAGAGCAAACCTTACACTATCTGAGTGAGGATGATTTCCACTTAAAATTGTGCATCCAAAAAAACTGTGCATTTAGCACATGTGAATAGACCAGGAACAAAAAGTAAAGACACTTTCCCATATACAAAGGCTTGGGAAATTTATTTTCCATGGGTCTGTGCTGGAAAGTTACTGGATGCTGGGCACCTGGAAAAGAAAGAAAGGGGGAACAAAGCCACTATGGGAACTGAAGAGGCCTGAGTCCACTGTGGATGGGGAGTTTGGGATGGAGTCCCAAAAGAAGGTGTTGTCCTGGGTCCAGTCACACCCTGCCACAATCCACACTCTGCTCTGTCCCTGCTCCCCCTACTCAGCCTCACATAGGCACCGAGGCTGCCCCCTACAGAGTACACTCCTAACTGAATCCATGGTGGACTGAAATGAAAACTGGATCCAGAGGCCCATTTGTTCTGGCTCCAGGAAGCCAGCACTGCTGAAGCAACTCTGCAGCCCATACCAGGGCTCCGCACCTCACTCTCTCAGGCCTGTGCCTACCTCCATCTTGTCTCCCTCAGCCCCGCCCCAGCTGTGACCCTGAGTATGCACTGCCCCCCAGGTGGTCCTACACTCAGGGCTCTGCTCAGTCTGGCGATGCCTGAAGAAATCCAGCCACAGACATCCTGACCAGACACCCTGCTAAGCCCCTCCCAGCACATTTGTACTTAATGGCTCATATCATTATCAGCTTGTAGTATAGGGACAGGGGGTCATAGGCAGAAAAAAAAAAGATAAAATAAGATCTCATTAAGCTTTATTAAAAAATTAATAGGAAATCTTACTAAAAGCAGCTTTTGCCTCTGCAGTTAGACTCCAGCAATTAGAAAGACAAAGGTAAAGAGAGAGAAACCGGTCCTTGGAAGGTGCCAAGGAACACAAAATAAGAATTTAGCAGGAAGGGTTCACAGGCAAAATAGGTATGTAGCCAGGAACATGAAAGACCAGGGTAGCTGGGCGTGGTGACACATGCCTGTAATCTCAGCACTCAGGAGCCGGATGGAGGAGGATTGCCATGAGTTTGAGGACAACTTGGGTGACACAGTGAGTTCAACACCAGCCTGCACTACATAGAGAGACCCTGTCTCAAAAAAAAAAAAAAAGGCCAGGGTAACCAGCTCGCTGTCCCTGATAAAATGCAAAGGAGACACTGGCCAGCCACCTAAGGATTTTTATTTATTTATTTATTGAGACACAGTCTCACTCTGTAATTTAAGGTGGCCTTGAACTCACTGTGTACCCCAGCTGGCCTCAAACTCACAGTAATCCTCCTGCCTCAGCCTACCGAGTTCTGGAATTACAGGCATGTGCCAAGCCCACCTAGAATTCTTACTTGATATTATATGCTTATATGTTGTTATGCCTTGTGTCTAGATGTCTCTCTAAAGCCTAATATAGTCATAGGTGGGGCTTTTTTAGACCTTGACTCACTGCATTGGAGGGATGGCTCAAACCTGCAGATATACAGTGACTGCTGGTGACCCCGGAGGCCTCAACAGAGAGATGCACCAGTGGAATGGAGCACGGGATGCAGCGAACTGCAGTGGCTGGTGAGTTATTTGGATTCAGATGTCCCCCCGGGGAGGGGGTGGTGATTGGCTGGTAGCCATCTTGGAGAGGAGTCAACTGAACTCAGGACTCAGAGCAGCTATGGGCTGGATTCATGTAGCAGCTGTCAAGGTGAGGCTGTCAAGGTGAGGCTGCCATGTTGAGCTCAGCAGGAGGTAAAGGAGCTGAGTTCTAGCCAGCGGGAGGCACATGGAGTGTTACAAGCTGAATGAATCAGGTATGAACCTCACAGCCAGAAATCAGCTTGAACTTCAGTGGAACTAAAGGTGCAGGCTTGCTGGGATTACCCACTACCCCACCATAAAGCTATGGCTGGTTTGCTGGGATTAATCAATTTGGATTTGGACTCTGTCTGCCCACTTTGTCTACCAATGACAGTAAAGACATCCTTTTAAGTGGACTTATTTTTTCTCTTCTTCTCCTGTTTTTGTTTTGTTTTTTTCTTGATTGTTCTTGTTTTTATATAAGTGTGAACATTGTTTCTAGGTTTTTGTTCTTGCTCTGTTCTATTCTTGTTTTTATTTCTTCCTTCTTTCTCTCCCTCCTATCTTCTTTACCAGTTTCCCAAAGTTTGCATAATCTTCCTTTGTTCTCCAGTCTTGGTTCTACTCTCTTCCTCTTTCTGTTTCTTTATTTTTCTCCCTAACCCCTTTTAAATTTCCTCTCTTGAGGGTAAAATTGCCATACCGAGAGCTTATTTACTGTATACAACTTTCTTTTTATTTTTTTTTTTGGTCTTTTTGAGACAGAGTCTTGCTCTGCAGTTCAGGCTGGCTTTGAGCTCACCTTGTAGCCCAGGCTAGTCTTGAACTCCCAACGTTCCTCCTGCCTCAGCCTCCCGAGTGCTGGGATTACAGGCATGCGCCACCACGCCCTGCAAGTATACAACTTTCTGATTGTCCTACATTTTGTTATATTGTAAGGGAAAATCTAACCGGAACAGCAGCTGCAGCTGACTACTCTGACTACAACAGGAACTGGAACCGGAACAGGTGGCAGATGCCAAGGAGTGATCAGTTCCTCCTTTGTCCCTCAGAGGGGAGACGGTAACAAGCGGGTCAACAGACTAACTGCAGGACATAACCCAAGGCAATCCTACCTTGTCCGAGGGCCCGGTCCAGTCACATTCTGACTCCTCCCAGGGTTCAAAGAGGTCTCTGCTGTTGCATAGGGGACTTGTAGAATAGGAGACTTATAGAGTAGGAGACTTGCAGAAATACTGTAGTAAAAGTTAGAAATCAGTAAAAGTTAGAACTGAGCTCCTTTACCTCCTGCTGAGTTCAGTATGGCAGCCTCACCCTGACACTGGCATTTGCTACGTGGGTCTAGCCCATAGCTGCTCCAAGTTCTGAGTTCAGTTGGGCACTCTCCAAGATGGCTACCAGCCAATCACCCACAACCCAGACATCTGAATCCAAATAACTCACCAGCCACTGCAGTCTGCTATGTCCAGTGCTCCATTCTACTGGTGTGTTTCTCCTGTAGCCTGTTATGTAGCTAGCTTACTAAATTCAGCTGAAAGCCTTGATTGTCTGGTCTCAGTTGTTATTCATCAACATGACAGGTCAAACTGACTGTGTTTCCTTTAATTCAGAAAATATGCAATATCACTTCTTGGGCTTTTGGCTAAGATCAAGTGAAGAAAATACACATTGACTCCAGCTTGCTTTAAGACCGTTATGTTTGGGGAAAGAGTAGCCTAATCAAGGACACATATTAACTTTGTTCAACCTGCATGTACAGTCCTGCCTGACAATGTATGACATAATTTTTGTATTCCCTGTAACCAGTCATGTAATAACCTGTTATCGGTTTTGTACTTCTCACTTGTAAATCATATTCAAACTGAATTCATTCCTGACTCTGGGCGGATGATTTGAAAACTGTTTCCTTTGGCCCACAGGCACTATGGATAAAAGTCTGCCTTCTGACCTCCTTGGTGCAAAGAGTCTTCCATTGGTCTCTTACCTGCAACATCTGGTGCATTGGCCAATAAGACACCTTGCTGACCACTTTAGATCACTGGTGCATGCCCCGCTGGCTGCTGCTGGGGCCCACCCTCGATCTACAGATGGGATGACCCACCCTCTGACCTTTTCTCAGAGTCTCCTCAGTGGTCGGGGGAAGGAGCCCCTATGCAACAGCAGAGACCTCATTGAACCCTGGGAGGAGTCAGAATGTGACTGGACCGGGCCCTCGGACAAGGTAGGATTGCCTTGGGTTATGTCCTGCAGTTAGTCTATTGACCTGCTTGTTACCGTCTCCCCTCTGAGGGACAAAGGAGGAATTGATCACTTCTTGGCATCTGCCACCTGTTCTGGTTCCAGATCCAGTTCTAGTCAGAGTAGTCAGCTGCAGCTGCTGTTCCAGTTAGATTTTCCCATGGGACTGGAGGAGGGAAAGTATTAACCTCTGAATGCCTATGCGTGTATGTGGGGACTGGGTGTGAACAAATGATGTAAGCCATAGGTCATTTCTGTCTGTGCTCCACAATGAAAGGTCCCCATGGGGGCTCAGAGTTACAGAGTTTGAGTGAGCCACAACCTATGCTTCTGTGGACTTGTCTGTCCAAGTTCTGCTTGGCAAGCTCTCTTCAGAGGCTTGAATGGACAAAACAGAGAACCTACTGATGCTTCTCCTGACAGTCCCAACGTTGGTGAGAGCCGAGCGGCCAGGCGGGTGCCTGAGTGTTCTCTCCTTTAGGAGGGGCACCACCCTTCGTCTGTTGCAACACCGTTGAGGAGTACAGTACACACACCATAGGGAGTCAGAATGGGTGCAAGTCAGAGTAAGCCCACTGTGTTAGACCACATGATAGAGAACTTCAAGAAAGGCTTTTCAGGTACTATGCAGTGAGGATGAAGCCACAGCAGTTTAGCACATTCTACGAGATTGACTGGCTGTGCTTATGCTCCTCTTGACCACAAGAGGGCACCCCAAACTTAGAAATCCTCCACCAAGTCTGGGGCAAAGGGACTGGTCCTACACTGAGAAGCCATCCTGATCAATTCCCTTATATTGACTGCTGAAGTGTAAAAATCCCCCGTATAGCTCCAGGTTTGTGCTTGTCAAAAGAAGGGAACACTCCTGGTGATCAAAAATGACCAGCCAATTAAAAGATCCCCAAAGACCAAAGCCAAAAAGATTTACCCTGTCTTGCCTGAAGACCCTAATGATGACTGCCCTCCACCATACACAGTGGCTGTGCAAACCAGCCAGACCCTCCTCCACCACCCCGAGAGGCAGCTGCAGATCCTGACCAGCCGCCACCTGTATTGCCTGACTCCACTGCTCTGACCCCACCTACCATGTCACCATCATCCAGTCCCAAGGAACCGCCTGAGCCAAGCCCCATTGGTCACTGATTCCACTCATTGCACCTGCAGATGCCCCTTCAAGGATGCT